AAGGCGTTTTCCCCCAAAATCAGGTTTTTTGTTGTTTCTGCTCAAAAAAATGCTTGAAAAAAATTTTTTAGGATTTTTTCAGTTTATTCAAATGATACATTGATAATTCATTACATTTTGACAAAATACAATTTTTGCACTTGTTTCAATCAAAATCCTTTATCTTCCTGTTTCTCCAAAAACCACTTTTGGACTCAATCCGTTTGGATGTGACGGGTCACAAATATGACCAAAACCAGCACGGAGAACCAGGAGAAGGAGGATAAACCAAAGGAGGAGGAGGCTAAGGAGGCGGTGGCCGAAGAGAAACCCAGGACCAAATCCAGTCAGCCTAATGAAGCATCTCCTGCCTTCATGTCCACCATCTTTGCTGTTTTTGACGTCTACCTGAACAAGATCCTGGTGGGCCTCACTCTTTGTTTCTGTCTAGAATGTAAGAGTGAAGCTTTTGTGTCTCACTGCTCATCTGAAACACTCCTAACAGAACTACCTGGCTCGGAACTTCTACAACCTGCGTTTCCTGGCTCTCTTTGTGTGCTTCGCCATCAACTTCATCCTGCTCTTTTACAAGGTAACAAGCGCCTCTGTTAAACCCCAAACATCTGTAAGATCTGTATTATGTTGCCTGTCAGGAGCACAGGTTATAGAAAATAAGAACAAAGTAATTAGAGTGAAATTTCTCTGCAGGTGGTTTTCACACATCTACAGGCTTTTAGTTAGGAGTTTAGAAGGAGGCGTCAACACTTTCAGCCGACCCCACCCACCTGACTCCGCCTCCGAAGCTTAGGGAAGTTCATGAAATTTGCGTAGGTAAAAAAAAAAACGGTTGTGAACAGACCAGAGATAGTGAAACACACAACAGCTGTAACATCACTGCCCACCTCCTCTATCCAAGTAATGTCATTGTTGTCGCAAAAAGCAGAAACACGTTGGAATAATACCGGAAAAGTCTGCGTATATGATAATCAAATATGATTTAATTGTGAGTCAAACAAACAGAACTGAATCAGGAAGGTTCTGCATGATTGTGACTGACTCGTCAGCAGACTACAGCCAGTAATATACATCATGTCAACACCATGTGACAGTTTACAACCAATCACAGATTGCCAAATATACTGTCCAGTCTATCACAGGGCTCCCAGCCCAAGAGTGTTATCAACCAAGAGAGTTCAGTCCGTTGCGGAGTCTTGACGTCCGGAAACAAATAGACAACGAGAGAGAAATGAGCTATCAGAAAGATACGAGTGATGGACAGTGTCAAGGTGAAACAGATATAAATAATTAGTCCATGACAGTCATTTATTCTGTGTCCTCTGGCTTCATAAAGTAARTGTGGTCACCTGAACTTTACAAGGTTTACAAAATTTACAGAAACTATGGGCAGACTAGGGCTCAGATTTATAAAGGATTGTGTGGAAACCATACTAAAAGTGAACGTACGCCAAAAAACCTTCAGATTTATCAAACGGTGCGTACGCATGTTTCTGCAGCTTTAAAGATCACAGCTTCACCTCAGAGTTTATGCACAAGGTTCCTCCTCAGGTTCTGCCCTCTACATGCCCACACTCAACCATAAACAGTCAAAGTAGCTCCTGAATGTTCAGTTGTATTTAAATCAGTCAGATGATCAGTGATTGGTTCAGACACGCTCCGTCATGTGTCTGGAGGATGACAGGTGCTGACAGCTGCTCACCTGAACATAATGTCTGTAATTGACAGATTTTTTCCCTCATTTTGCAGGTTTACAGACATTTAGAGTAATCTAATGATTTTTATCAAAAACTCAGCTTCAAATTAATTTTCTCTCAGAGCCTGCAGGACGATAAAAACAATAAATACAATTAAATAAGTCAGATAAACCTAGAAATAAGTTCACCACTCTCCTCCTGTCCTCCCCTCCTGTCTGCTGTTAACTGCAGCTGATCGTCTCCTCTGTCCTCTGCTTAGGAAGTTTATGAAAACTTAACAAAATAATGTAGAAATAAAAAAAGTCTCGTTGAATCTGTAGATGGTCACATGAGGGTGTCGCCAGCTGAAAACCAGACGCTCCTCACGTCTAAAATCTTAATAATCCTGAGAAACTTCATTTCTGAGTGAATTCAAACTTGTTTCAACAACAAAGGACTGAAAATGAAATTAAAAACCCTGTTGGAGCTGTGAAATCAGACACTTCCTGTGTGTTTGCTCTGCTGTCAGGTCACTGGTGAGACGGATGAAGAGACTGAAGAGGATGATGAAAACCGTTGGGGTGGTGAAGAAGAGGATGATGAGAACACTCTGTTTGACATGGACGAGTTCGTCCTTCAGGAGAGCACAGGTTACATGTTACCAACGCTGCGCTTCCTGGCTGTGTTCCACACGGTCATCTCCCTCCTCTGCCTGGTCGGATACTACTGTCTGAAGGTACTGGTGCTGTCAGCGTGTCAGCGGCTCGTCTGCGCTCTGAGCTTCTAGTAACGTGTTCCGTCGCCTTCGCTTTTAGGTTCCTTTGGTGGTTTTCAAGAGGGAGAAGGAGATCGCCAGGAAGCTGGAGTTTGATGGTCTGTACATCACTGAGCAGCCGTCTGATGATGACATCAAAGGCCAGTGGGATCGACTGGTCATCAACACGCCGTGAGTCCCCGCCTCCTTTATTGTTCCGGTAAACTCACCAGTTCACGTTAACCTTCTTTATTTGGATTTCAGATCGTTCCCCAACAACTACTGGGACAAGTTTATAAAGCGCAAGGTGAGCATGGAGAAGTGAAATAGTTTGGGTTTGAAACAGATGATGAGTAAAGAAGTTGTGTTTCCTCTGTAGGTCATCAACAAATATGGTGACCTGTARGGAGCTGAGCGCATCGCTGAGCTCTTAGGCTTGGATAAAAGTGCTTTGGACTTCGACCCCACAGTGGAGACCGTGGAGAAGGAAGCTTCTCTGCTTTCATGGTGACTTTTTCCTCTCCTTTCATTTCTCACTCAAACCAGACTGTCTGAAGTTAGCAGACACGAAGCAGAGAAGATGAGCTTTATTTTAAAACATAAACCAATAAACAGCTCTGTTCCAGACAGGATCCAGTCTGAACAAGTAAAGGTTCAGATTTAGTTACTTGCATCATGTAAACCCTTTAAACACTGATTCAATCAAAGTAAATCAACAGAGTTTTGAGCTCTTCGTCTCATGAACTGATTGTAAATACTGATAACTACAAACAGTTTTAATAATAAAACTTTTATCCTTTCCTGAAGTGCAAATATTCTCCTCCCATCCAAACAAAAAGTATGAATGGGTTTAAAACCAAAAGAAGCCAGTTTGTAACAGCTTTAAACAAGTGTTCAGATTTAGCAGCAACATCTTTTTTATAATAATATTTTTTCCTGAACAGGCTGAGCTCCATCGACACAAAGTACCACATCTGGAAAATGGGAGTGGTTCTGACTGACAATGTGAGTTTTTGCCTTCAGCGCTGATAAAAAATAAAAAAACCTCTAAAAAAAGATTCTTCCTGAAAGCAGAACAATGTTTTTTTTTCTTCTTTTCTCTTCTTCAGTCCTTCCTGTATCTGATCTGGTACACCACCATGTCCATTTTTGGACACTTCAACAACTTTTTCTTCGCGGCTCATCTGCTGGACATCGCCATGGGCTTCAAGACGCTTCGCACCATCCTGTCCTCCGTCACTCACAACGGGAAGCAGGTGAGTCGTGGGACCAGCAGAGGGCGCTGTAAAACAAATTAAAACATTACCAGAGTACTCGAATGCAGTGGTTCCCAAACTTTGTATCTTCTGACCCACAAAACAACAGRAGCAGAGACCTGAGCCCACAACTGTTTTTGGATGATAAACATTTTTATCAGGTCGACTAAACATGGGCATAGTAACAATARTTATTATTCTACATTTATACATTTTAGGCAACTAAGGCAAAAATATAATTAATTTAGAAAATCTTTTCAGGACTCCACTTTGGGTCCCGAACCACTGCTCTAATGTTTACATCTTAGTCAGGCTTTATTTCACACATTTAGCTCTAAAGACCATCAGCACCTTTTTGACGTTTCTATACGACTCAACAAGTGAAATAAAAGGTTTCAGTGTAAAAGATAAAGAGTCATTTTCACTGACAGATGAGGTTAATTTAATAATTAAAAAGCTCCAGTTTGTCTCATTAGTGACTGAAGCTTTGGACTAGTGTTTCATCTGCAAAACTGTCAGCAATTAATATTTGCCACTTTGCAATTAGTGCTGCAGGATGATGTATTTTGTGTGCGACACACAATCACTGAGGCGTGCATGTGAGCAGCTGGAAACTCGTCTAACAGGGTTCATGCAGGATTTTAAAAAGTCTAAAATTTGAAAATCTAAATTGTAGGCCTAAAAAATTCTTAAAACTCCCAGATTTTCATCCAAGGTCTTAATTTTTTTACTTTCAATCATTTCCAGAAGTGTTGTCTGCATCAATAAACAGTAAATAATCACAGGATGACTGCATCTGTCTTCATGAAGTTTCCTGTCAGTCATGGTTCGATGTTAAACTATAAATCCTGTGAGAACTGCAGCACAAAGTCACACAGTTTACTTTATGTTTTCTACCTGTGTGCTGCTACAAGCCCTGCATACAGCAGCTTGTTCATCTGCACAGAACACTAAGTTCAGTCATGTTCACCTGTTGTTGAAACATGGAAATGTGTTTTCAYTGAGACCTCACCTGATATCAGTTCTGTTGGAAGTGCTCCACAGCAGTCCACATGAAGCTCTCACAGATATGAACGCTTCATTAAAACAATTCAGTCTTCTTCTATTAAAATTAAATATTCTTTAATAGATAAACTGATAATAATAAAAGTTTCTGTTAAAATTTCTGGGACCATTTGAATGTTTCTGTTAATGCATCAGTTTGGTCTTTAAAAGGTCTTAAAAAGGACTTAAAAAGGTCTTAAAAGGGTCTTTAAAAGGACTTAAAAGGGTCTTAAAAAGGTCTTAAAAGGCCTTAAAGAGGTCTTTAAAAGGTCTTTAAAAGGTCTTTAAATGGTCTTTAAATGGTCTTAAAAAGGTCTTTAACAGGTCTTAAAAAGGTCTTTAAAAGTTCTTTAAAAGGGTCTTAAAAAGGTCTTTAAAAGGTCTTAAAAGGCCTTAAAGAGGTCTTTAAATGGTCTTTAAATGGTCTTAAAAAGGTCTTTAACAGGTCTTAAAAGGGTCTTAAAAAGGTCTTTAACAGGTCTTAAAAAGGTCTTTAAAAGGTCTTAAAGAGGTCTTTAAAAGGTCTTAAAAGGGTCTTTAAAAGGTCTTTGAAGGGTCTTTAAAGGGTCTTTAAAGGGTCTTAAAAAGGTCTTAAAGAGGTCTTTAAAAGGTCTTAAAAGGGTCTTAAAAAGGTCTTAAAAGGTCTTAAAGAGGTCTTTAAAAGGTCTTAAAAGGTCTTAAAGAGGTCTTTAAAAGGTCTTAAAAGGGTCTTAAAAGGTCTTAAAGAGGTCTTTAAAAGGTCTTAAAAGGTCTTAAAGAGGTCTTTAAAAGGTCTTAAAAGGGTCTTAAAAAGGTCTTAAAGAGGTCTTTAAAAGCTCTTTAAAAGGTCTTTAAAAGGTATTAAAAAGGTCTTTTAAAGGTCTCAAACTGAACTTATTAAAACCTGCATGAATCTTGTTTAATCACCTGAAACATCAGAAAATGCAGACTAAGGCCTCGATGTCGGCCACATGCATGTACAGTCATATCAGTCGTTATCAGCTAAATGCCACGATTAATTGTGATAAATTTTTATGATGATAGCCCACCCTGCAGCGGACCCTCCATGGAGCCCACTATGACTCAAAATGTGAAGAATGGTCAGAAAGTGACATAACTTCAGCTTAAATGGTCTCTTTTGCCTCCTTTCCCACCATGATTAATCTGGGGTTGCATTTCCTCTTGCGGCCACATCCTGGGAGGTTGGCTGCAGCCACATGAAGCTCATGCTCTGTATTAATTCTGTCAGCTGCAGACAAAGGAACATGAAGCTGCTTTAAGGTGAAAACCTTCTCATCTTCTCTGCTCCGTGTTCAGCGTGAACAGAACCAAAAGATCCAGTTTCATGTTTGTTCTCTTCAAAACCTTGACTTCATTCTAACCAAGTCAAGTAGTTTAAAACATGATGTGTTTTACAAAACAACCCTAACAAACAAAATAATTTATTTTTTTCAGTTTCTGTACTTATCACATTAAATCTTTACATTAGACGGTTACTTTTACTGGGTTCCTGCAGATCCTTAAAAAGTCTTAAAAGGCATTGAATTCATCAATCTAAAGTTAAGGCCTTAATTAGCCTTAAATGTCTTCAAAATGTTAACACATTGTAAGGATGATTTTAATTAGTCTCAAATATTAAAATAATTGGAACATTTCTTTATTTTTTAAGATAATTTAATACCAAATGATTCTAATGATAGTTGTTTTGTGTTAAAATAAACATTTGGATAAAATTGTCGCTAACTGAGTTTTATTCCATTTGTGTTTATTGTGAAGTTGGTCTTAAATTTAATTTCAAGATGTGTTAAAGAGACGTCAAAAAGTCTTAAATTTACCTTGTGTTAAGCTGTAGGAACCCTGCTTTTAACTGAATCAGTCGTAGTTGAACAAATGAACAAATTAAGCTCCGACACCAGTAACCAGGCCTCTGCTCTGCTTCCAGCTGGTGCTGACCGTGGGTCTGCTGGCCGTGGTGGTCTACCTGTACACGGTGGTGGCCTTCAACTTCTTCAGGAAGTTCTACAACAAGAGCGAGGATGAAGACGAGCCGGACATGAAGTGTGACGACATGATGACGGTACCTCTGCTCGCCTTTCACGGCCGTTTCTTTGAGGAAATTTAAAAAACAACCTTCTGTAAAAGTGAACAAAAGCCGCCTCCAGAGCTGAAGAGCTGAAAAACATTCCTGAGGCTTTTATTCTGARGTGGAGACGAGGCACACAGGTGGCCTTGGTTGGTGTAAAAACAGGATGTCACTTTCAGATTAAAGAGAAAAAGCTTTTTACCAACACTTTATTATTGAGTTAATCAAATGATTAACTCTTTATAAATAATGTTTTTAAGATTCCCAGGAAACAGTTTTCTTATTTCAGCACGACTTCCTGTCAGCATCAAGCTGAACAGCAGTGTTTGATTTGTGTTTGCTGGCGTTCAGTGCTACCTGTTCCACATGTACGTGGGCGTCAGAGCTGGAGGTGGTATTGGAGACGAGTTGGAGGACCCAGCTGGAGATCCATACGAACTCTACCGCATCCTGTTTGACATCACCTTCTTCTTCTTCGTCATCGTCATCCTGCTGGCCATCATTCAGGGTAACAAGCCTGGACATGACACCTGGGGTCGACTCTGTTAGCTCTGTGATAACTGTCCAACCTGTCCCTGCAGGTTTGATCATCGATGCCTTCGGTGAGCTGAGAGACCAGCAGGAGCAGGTGAAGGAGGACATGGAGGTAAGACTGAGTCTGGACCATCATTTTGTTCTGCTGCCCTCTTGTTCACCATGTTTTTAATCAAGATTTGATTTATTGATTTTATTGTGTTGGGCCCTGAGGACATGTTGCCTCTGAGTTTATGCTTTAATATTAGCATTCATGCTAACCGTATTTCACCTCTTTTCTTCCACAGCTCAAAAATTCACCGACTACACTTCTCTTAAAAACGTTGCCGTTATTGTCGCAGAAGTTTTAGGGTTTTTTTTTTTGACACAAAGCGGGCAGAAGTGACCCGTCAAAATAAAAGCTGTGATGGTTTAGTCCCTGGATAACGATGCTGTCAGCTAGAAGCAAACAGAGCCTGTAAAACTGAGTTAAAGCTGCTTTTGTTTCCTAAAGTTAGTTGTTGCTCCAACATTCATGCAGGAAGGACCAAATGTCAAAAACTTGACTGAACGTCCTCTGATGAGAGTATTTTTGAAGATAAACTAAAGTTAAAAACACAAGAAGTCAAAGAAAACATCTTTATATTTATAATACACATAATTTTACCCATTTTGTCCCATAACTGCATATTTTCTAGGAAATAAATTAATTTATATCAACTTATATTTCTGTAACTAAGTGTTTAATGATTTGGTCGATTCATGGAAACGATAATCAACAGATTATTGATGATTAAAGTAATTGTTTTTTATCAGTGTCATCTTTCAGATAATAAATTAATAAAAATTACAAACTGTGACGTCAGTTTAAAGCTGAAACACAAAGTGATGTTTGTGGGTTTGTTTCAGACCAAATGCTTCATCTGTGGCATTGGGAACGATTACTTCGACCGGACCCCTCACGGCTTTGAAACCCACACCTTACAGGAACACAACCTGGCCAACTACCTGTGAGCAGCACACACACACACACACACACACGACTTTAAACTGAATCTGATTTACAGACGGTTTATCCTGACCCGGCTCCTGTCTGCAGGTTCTTCCTCATGTACCTCATCAACAAGGACGAGACCGAACACACGGGTCAGGTACGTCACACACCTGTGTGCCGTTTTGTTCTCAGGTAAACACGAGACAAAACAGGAAGTGCTCCAGATCCAGCAGGTTGTACTTATGTAACGTTTGCAGTGGGCTGGAAGACTGCAGGAGAAGAAAACAACGTGTGGGTTTCACATTGTTCCCAGTGTGCACCTGAGGTTCTGATTGATGAGATGTTCTCCTCCTTCAACAGGAACTAAATACACTGTGATTAGTGAGACAGGAGGGTTTGGCTCAACGTGAGCTGCCACAGCTGCAGAGAAGAGTGTTCATGATTTAAAGAGGGCTCAGTGGAGAGACTCGAGCTAGAACCAAAAATAAACATTTTGTTTTTTCCATCAAGCCTTTTTCTGAGTTTAAACTAAATGAAGAAGAATAGGATTTATTAATACAGAACATGATGCCTTCACTGCTTCATGCTCATTATTTTGTTTTTCACCGGATTACACCACCACCCAAACGTAGGTCTTTTCTGGCTCTGATCAGACTGAACTATAACAACTTGTTCCTGCAGGTATTACTACTGCTCTCACATCAACTGACTTAAACTCTTTACTTTGATGCTTTTCAGCAGTTCTGTCTTTAATTTATGGTGATTATAACACTGAACACTATTATCGTTGCAGAGTAAAGAAATAGAAAAGCTTTTTCTCTGAATGAAACATGAAGCCGCTCTGCCTACATCTCCCAGAATGCAGTGCGCTTCTGGATCAGTGAAGTGATCAAGTTGAGCTGGATGATAAAATGTTAAGAGCTAACTCTAAGCTAGCTGAGCGACAGGAGAAAATTGTGGATAAAAGAGGAAAATTCACCAGTTTTAATCAGGCTTTTTTCAAAATGCTAAAACTGACTGCTATATAAAACGCTGAGTCAGCATGTTTTACAGGCAGCTTAAAACAAAGATTAGGTGTCAGTTTGAATGAAAGCTATTTGAAGGAGTTTTTACGTTTACATTGTAAAATATAATCCTAGTTCACTGGGAGGTATTTAGTTTCTTTTATTTTTGCAACACAAACAGTGTAAACAACACAAACAGTGTAAACAACACAAACAGTGTAAACAACAGTCTCCTGTCGTCTGTCCCCTGCAGGAGTCCTACGTGTGGAAGATGTACCAGGAGAGATGCTGGGACTTCTTCCCTACAGGAGACTGCTTCCGTAAACAATATGAGGACCAGCTGGGTTAGAGGAGGCCACGCCCCTCCTGGCCCCYCCCCACGAACAAAACCTGGAATTCTTCACCCGACACGACTGGACGTGTGCTGCTCCACCTGATTGTTTGATTTAACATCAAATATTTTAGCCTTTTTAACAACGGTTCAAGTGTGTGAAAGGAACTGAAGACTCAGATTAGAGGTTCACTAAGTGCCAACGTGCCTTTTGAAGAAACTATGCAAACACATCATTGTTCCTCCGTTCACAAGCAGATTTACATTAGTTTGGTGGCTCTTTGTTGTATAAAATCTAGACAATAGTTGTGTAAATGTTGCTAAGTTTGGTTTTGTTCCTGAGCTGTGGCGTCCTGCCTGCACCTTCTTCCACAGTGAGAGAACGCCACGGAGAGCCGCTACGTTTAGCTCATTTACTGTAGCTGCTGCTCTACGCCTCATTTCTATAGGAGCTTTGGAAAACTGACTTTTGCCGACGGGAGGAAATGAATAAACAAGTGACGCAATAAAACCTGTGCTGTGTGGACTTTGTACCTGAGTCTGCTGGTCCTGCTGGATCAGGAGATCATGCTGTCGAGCCAGTCCTCCAGATCCTCCTCAGTCAGGGCTGTGGTGGAGTCTGAAGGTGCAGCAGCTTCTTTTACCTGCTCACACACCTTTTCCACAGCTTCTGGTGCCGATTCTTCTTCTTCTTCTTCTTCAGGCGCTTTAGAAGAAAGAAACATCAACTGTGACCAGTGCAGCGTTGGGACTAAGGGTGACGTTCCTGTCCAGTTCCAGTGGGTGTGTTTTGGGTTTTTTGAAGAATTAATGCACAAAATGAGAGATGGAAACACGTTTGCCAAATAAGTTCTGAAATTTAAAAGATTTGCTAAAAGTTTGAATAAATTAAATGGAAACACGACTAATGTTGAAAAACTGGCTCTTTGTTGTACAGGCAGCTCTGACTCCACCCCCTAACCAATTAGTGTTATGACATCACATTTTGGTGTCGACTGGGACCGCTTAGAACCATAAAGTAGGTCAGGGATGTCCAAAGTGTGGCCCGGGGACCATATGTGGCCCCTGACTTCAGTTCAAGAATTATACTCATTTGTGAACAAATGAGTATAAATGTGTCCCCTGGCACAGCTGTTCGATGTAGATGGAGACTTTCTATTTATTATTACAGAAAATTTATCACAAAGTAAAATTTTATAATAATAAATCTTGGCAACAATACCAATTATTTGTCTTTAAATAACCAGATTCAGCTTTTTCTACATCTATGTAGTGACTTCTACTCAGAAACTGACTCCAATCTGCTTTAAATTATAGAATAAATTTGAATACAGCAAGCATTTTCAACAAAACCGTGACCTAAATCCTGATTTTATTCATCAGAATTTACTAAATTGGGTTTTTTTTTTTTCCCCAAATGAAACCTAGAAAACTGCTAAATTTATTTCAATAAGGGAAACCTGCAAAACACTTTGAAAGGTCTGGATCTAGATTAATTTACAAATCAATTTCCAGCAATAAATCTGACTTTATCTGTTTAATTAAAGTAATCAGTGCTTAGTTTATTGTTGAGCAGGTAAAGGAATAATATTTTTGGCCTTCAAGTCTTTCTGACTTTATGAMTTTGGCCCAAAATGTTTGGACAGCCCTGAAGTTGGTCCTAAAAACATGGCTGGTTCCAAGAARCTGGCCTGATGTTGGAAGCGTACTGAACTGTACCGACACTAAGGGTTCTAGTGGGAAAAGGGACGTAACAGTTCCTCTGACCTTCCTCTGGAGGAGGCTCCTCTGCAGCACCGACTGGTTTCTGTAAACTGAGCAGCTGGTCGAGCTCTTCATCACAGTCATCCTCCACAGAGGAAACCCTGGWGTCTGAACCCTGCGCTGCAGCTGAGGAGGGTTTCTGCTCTGCTCCGAGGCCTGTGGACCCTGTGGACCCTGTGGACCGAGGGGTGAACACGTTGGTTTTTGGCACGTCTGGTTTCAGGGTGAGGCCGACAGCAGGCAGCTCTGCTGGTGTGGAGACCTGGAACAGAAACATGWTGGTGTTTAAAACACTCCAGACTGAAGGAGAAACTCCACTTCCTGTCCGCAGATCAAACCTGGACCAGGTCCGCCTCCAGGTTCAGCCTCCGATGAAGAGGCAACTGATGAAGACTCTGTGCGAGAGCGGGGAGGTCCAACATCACAGCTGACGTCTGAAGAGTAAAACAAACCTTTGTGATGTTACAGGTCCACAGAGACCTGAACCAGGTTCTACCTGTTGCTCTGCTCCACCTGACATGATGATTATCATCTGCAGCACAGAGGACCAAACCTGACAGAATTATATGAAACACTAAATAAATACACTTAAAATGCACCAATTCAATTAAAAAGGAGAACTTTATCTGCTGTTTTATATTTTAATTGAGTTTCATATTTATTTTTCCAGGTTATCCCTATAAATTAGTCTATATTTCAACACATAATTTAAATTTACTGTTTTTTAAATATATATTAATTGTTCTTCCTTTTACTTGTACATGCATATGTGTGTTTTAAATGTTTATACTTAATTACCGTATTTATTCATGTATAATATGATCATAATTTTTTGAGCTTACAAAGCATAAAAATCTAATTATCAATAACTCGTGTATAATACTATCCCCCCACTTTATGGATGATTTTTAGGGTTAAATTTCTAGTATMATACATGAATAAATACAGTAATTTTATATTTTTTCCAACAAGTCTTTTCATTTCAATGTGTTGCATGTTTGTGCTGTCACAGTTTAGCTAAAAGTTTAAAGTTTAGTTTAAAACAAAGGCAAGGAGGAAAACATTACCTGTGCCTTTATTTTGAAAAAAAAAAAAAGTAAATAAAATTTAAGCATTTAAGAGACAAATGC